AGTTCAAACCTTGGACACACGTACAGTCCACCATCTGGCCACAGTTATGGCAGCGCCTTCGCCCAATCATTCCTGGCAGGAAGTTACAAATTTCAACCTCATGAAATTGAAGTGTTTTATGAAACTACCTAACACACCTGTGGAATCAAGTGTCATAAGAATTCAGTATTTAAAATGTTTTCTTTGTAGACACCTCGTCACTTTTTTAAGGCTTGCTTTTAACGTAGATTTATAACATGATCATGAAGAAGTCATGAAAGTAAAGAAATAGTTCAAAGTATCCGTTGTAAAAATTTTTGCATCGGGGGAAATTTGAGTTGCCATCGCTTTTCCTTCCGAGCCTTCCTGGGTCAATCGACATTTCTTGTAACTAGGGCATGCTCGGCGAATGCTCCATGTGGGTTAGTCATGTTGATGTGAATTTCGCAATGTGACTTCTATTCATGTGAGATTAGTTCAGAATTTACAGGAAAAGAAAATTCTTTGAGGCCTCGTGAAGTATCCTTATTAGCATAATTCGAGAGAATAAAACAGATTTGGAAGGTAAATACATCGCCAGCTTGTGAAATCCCGTTTCGAGGAGTTAGGAGTAAACGACCAAGGTCTTAATCAAACGCTGTAGGCACGAATATCAGTAGGCAGATTATTCATACTGTCCTCTATATACTTCCTGAGAGCTTCTTTATTCAAGGGTGATATTGTAAAGAGAAAATAGATCCTACTCACTGTAGTGGTTGTAAGGTACACTTCGTTTGACATACATGATGTAGGTAAGCAGGTAAAGTAAAAGAGGATTGAATCTTTAAAGTAGCATGCCAGATGTATAGATTAGATTCGTGTGTATCCATTTCCATCGACTTTAGAACGTGACACTCACTTAAAGAGATTGACGGGAAAATTTTAAAGATGACTTAAAAATAAATTATTTTGTTATCATATGGTGATGAAACCCTTGGTCTTGCCGATAAGCCCAAATTGCCTCTTTGATCCGGTTTGAATCCTCTTTCCCCTCTACTTAAATTAATGAATTTGGATTTAACACAAAGGCCCTTAAAGGATTGGAACCACTTTGGAGGTGGCTAAAGGCAAATCCTCGGAAATATGATAAAAATTTGCTCGTCTCCTCACGGATGCAAACACATCGAATCGCGATTTTTGCAACGATGATTAATAAGGAAAGCTTCTCTCTTCCGGGT